AGAGAGAGCTGGTTCGCAAAAAGAGGAGGAGATATTTTCATTTTCACAACATCTGTGAATCTCTCACTGGTGTCTACGTGTGTGTGCGAGTTTCGCAAAGCTGTCCCTTTTTCTTTCAGAACTGTAAACTCAAATCTTGTTGCCGAGACACAATGAGATAACCAACCTATCGTTAATTACAAAAGTATCGAGCTCGAAGGCTCCGATGCTCGAGACCGGCTTTATATTTCGCTTCGGATTTTTATATGGTAGTACGTATTCGTTGTAGATTTCTGTCACAAAATGGATATCTTTATCTGTAATGAAAACACATTTAATATTTCGATAATTAAATTAAATCTCTATGACAAGACGGGTCAAATCTAGATAGATATATCGATAGTTATACATAAAAGGAAATTTACTTTTTATCAAATCAGATCAATTTGAAATTTTAAATTATAAAACTTTAATATTACATTTAAAATGTCATCTTTTTTAGTCTACAATGGATACATAGATGCTTTGTATAACCATGTTCATTATAGTGCAGTGATACTCCTCTCTGCTGTAATTTTAACCAGACTCCTGCTTTAGATGCGAGAGTAAATCGTCGCCGATCAATTAAGATCTTTTGCTCGATCGTGATTACTGAAAGTCCAAATCGCGCCGGTGAATTCCCTTCGGGCATTCCAGGTTTCGAAAGCAACGAAGATGGAATCTCGCGGAATCTCCTCTGCCATCCATTTAAATGCAATTAAGCAACGTCACGTAGTAGCGTAACGGGGGTCGGAAACGTTTAAATCAAACTACGGCTGGTTTAGTTAGTTTCGACCGCAACTTTTAATTGCGCCTCGACCGTCTGGAGGGCCATTAAGTTCCAGAAGAGATACGTTACTTCTTTTTTTATCCTCAGCACGTGACAGTTTTCCTCTTCCGCATTTTCCGTACGCGTTTCCAAAAGAAACAATATAAAATATATTCTTAATCGTTAAAATTTTTCTAAGAACTTAGCTTATAAGTAAAATGTTTTAATCGTACGTATATTTCAAATAAAAATTCAAAAAAATTGTTTATTTATTAGCTTTATTTTCTTTCACAATTTTAACATTTTATCTTTAGGAGAATTATATTCTCGTTTATTACATTTATTATGTTACATTAAAAACTTTTATAACCGTGACCTAATTTACATCACTCCTTGCGAGAAACATGACATTTAAGTTTTTACATCGTTTACATTAATTAAAGAACCCCAGCTGGCATTTTTAAGAGCCAGCCTAAAGTTACTCGCGCTGCATGGAAATGCCAAGTTCTGACCTTATATCCCCGGCCCTCCGGGACACTCTGTGATTAAATCGACTT